GCAAAATTATTTTGAATCACAAGGTCTGTGGTTTAAGCTCACCATTTGTGCTTAGGAAACCCTATATAGGGTCGTAATGGTTCGAACTGACTCGATGGCACTTAACAACAACATTATTATAATTATAGTTGTATCATCTATGTATGCACATGTCCCCCAGTTTTTGTGTATGTTGGTCTGCTTCTATAGTTTCCCCATTGAATTATTTTGGCACCTTTGTTGAAAATCCATTTGGCCATGCACATAAAGAATTTAGTTTTTTATTAGTTTCCATTCCATTCAGCAGGGTGCCTATCTGTACACTAATTAACTCATTCTTGATTAATGTTCTCTGCACACCTGGGGTCACCATGAGTCAGAATTGACGCAACAGAATCTAACATAGCAAATCTTCATTTTCAAAGTTGTCTTAGCTTTTGAGAGTCCTTTGCATTTCACTTACAGTTTAGAACTAGCTTATCCACTGGTGGTGGTGATTGTGTGCTATCAAGTCGGCTCCAACTCGTAGCGTTTCTGAGGCTGTAAATCTGTTGGGAGCATCATGTCTCATCTTTCTCACAGGCAGCATGGCTGGTGGATTTGAGATGCTGACCTTGCGGTTAGCACGCCAACACAAAATCCATGGTGCCACCAGGCCTCCTAGTTCATTTAACCACTTATGTGACACTGTGGGACACAAGGTCAGTTTGAACTGCAAGGTTGGCGGTTCAATTCATCAGCCACTCCTTGGAAACCCTGTATGGGGTCACTTTAGTCAGAAGCAACTCAATGGCACTTAACAACAGCAACAACACTTAAAAAAGAAAATCTGCTGGAATTTTAATAGGAATTGGGTTAAATTTGTGGGTCTGTTTGGGGGAGAATTGATACTGTAATAATAAGTTTTGTAATCCATGAGTACGGAATGTCCATTTACTTAGATATTATTTAATTTCTCTAATTGGTGCTCTGTGAAATTGTTTAGTTAACAAATATTGTGTTAACTTTATTCCTAAGTATTTTATCATGCTCCTTTGAAACCCTATACAGGGTCGTTAACCCTGTTAAAATGGCACTTAACAGCAAACAGTACCAATGTCACGTGGTTAAATGTTCAACAAGTGTTAGTTATTATTATGATACGCACTGGACTGCTAACCTTAAGATTGGTATCTCAAACCCACCAGCTGCTCTTTGGAAACCCACTTTGTGGGGGGGGGGGGGAGGGGGTCACTGTAAGTTATTACCAATTTGACAGCACTTAACAAAAGCTCTAAAAAGATCTAGAGTTTGAACCAAGCTAGTGATCTGGGTTTTAAATGTTCATTATGCAGCATTTTTCATTATGCCTTTCTGCGTTTGTAAGAGCATAGATCAGAAGATAGAGTCCAGGTCTTCTATCTCAGTCCTGTGCTTTTTCATGTAGACTAGATGCACTGGACTGCTAATCAGTGGTTCAAACTCACCAGTTGCTCCAAAGGAGACTGATGAGGCTCTCTGCAGTAGCCAAATATTGTGAGCAGAATATTAACTTCTCTGAGCAAAACAGTTGATAACAGTACTTACTGTACTAGTGTAACAGAAGTACTTACAAGTATCATTTAGTGATTGTTTACGGTGTGACTGCTAAACGTGTTGTATGTATTATTTCATCCTTATAAAAGGAGGTGCCAGTATTATCTCTGCTTGCAAGTGGAAAATTTAGAAAATTGTAGACATAGAGGCTTAGTATTTTACCCACAACTATACAACTATAAATGGGAGAGACTAGGTTCAAACTCAACCCTGTCTCTTAAGATTTAGCCAATCTGGTGGCTTGCCAAAGTTAAAGCAGTTCAGTATTTTAATGATCATTTGTTGTTGTTAGTTGCCCTTGAATTGGTTCCAGCTCATAGCCAACAACCCTGTAGAGGGTTTCTGAGGCAGTGCAGGAACTGAAAGCCACATCTTTCTTCCACAGGATTGCTGGTGGGCTCGAGCCACGGACCTTGTCATACAGTATTTATATAGAGCCACTGTGTGTGCTCCCTTAGTTGTAATGGTTAAATGTAAGTTTTCTTTTAGCTCTTGTGAAATAATGAAACATCTTCTCCATTCCTCAACCAGTAGTTGTAATTAATTTTTTTTAGTATTAGTTGGGAATGTGAAATAAACTTTATTAGTGCATACAAATCTATTTTCTCAGACTTATATTATTGGGGGACATTAAATTAAAGCCACTGACATCTTTGAGATCCAGCTTTCTAATAGATGATTCCGAAAGAGCCAGGATGGCAAATGTTACTGTTGTTAAGTGCTGTTGCGTCAGTTCCGACTCATAGTGACCCTGTATAGGGTTACCAAGGAGCGACTGGAGAGCCAAATCGTGGGAAGTTTTTTCTCTGTCTCTCCATCCACCCATGTATATTCATTCATCCATTCAGATGAGAAAATTGTTTACCTAGGTGGATTTATTATGAATAAGTCCATCAGTACTTCATTGTAAACAGAGGCAGGTAACAATGTAAAGCCCCTTGTACTTATCTAATTGTATTTGTATTTCTACTTCTTTTTTGGCTGAAGATAGCTATATGCAAACTGGCTCCCTTGTATCTTCTTCTGAGGAGACCCCACCACCTTTGGGGCTAGATGCACAGGTCCTATGCTCAGGCCCTTTTGCTCCTGGACTTTTCCTGTTTCTGGCTCAGAGTCAGCTTTCCTTCTGAGGGTCTTCTGGCATTTTCAGAGCCCCTCAACTTTACCTGGCATTGTCCTCAAATGAATTCAGTCCTCAAGTGGCGAGTCTATTGTTAAAGTCTGTATTTTTCACTGTTTGGTGTATGGGAAATTATTTATGTTAATATGCTTTTTAAAAAAATTGTTATATTTTAACCTTTTATTGAAGTATAATTAATATAAAAATTGATAAATCATAATTGCCCAGATTAATGAATTAACATAAAGTTAATGAACTTCTATTATTGTCATTCAAAAAGAAAACCTTTGACTTCTTCCCTCCACTCCAAAGATTATTCTTACCCCAATTTCTAGTATCTTTAATGGAATTAATGGATTAAATAGAATTCTACTGTATTATTATTATTTTAAATAGTTGTTTGGGGATATAATTTATACAACAAAAATTTTAGAATTTTAAGTTATATAATTAGATGATTTCAGTAAGTATCTTGTTACATTATTTTCACAATCTATTTCAAAACCTTTTCGTAACTCCCCAAAATTTTCTCATGTCTAGTTACAGTTAATCTTGTCTCCCCTCCCCAATTTGAGGCTATCACCCATCTACTTTCTGTTTCTTTAAGCTTATCCTCAGCCCATGTCTTCATTGCTGCCCTTCCCCCATTTCTGCTCACAAATTGACCAGTGTGGTCGCCAGCAAGCCTGTTTGTGTGTTCCTGTTGAGTTTCAGTCTTGGAGGCGGGTGGTTGTCCTTCTTGGAGTAGTGGGGCTGTTTGTTGTTTTGTTTTGTTTTTTCTATTTTATTATTTTGTTATCATGTTAATACGCTTTTTAACACCATGGATAGCTCAAGTTTTTGCATATAAATCCTTGATAAATTTAGGCTTTTGGCAGGGAGTGCAGTCTCATTTTTGTAAAATTGTTTTCAACAGAAGCCATACTTGCATTTATACATCATTTTGTTATATAGAAGTATAATTTTAGTGACTGTTTTTATGGTTAAAAAAATAAGGCAAACTTGTAACTATTTGCATTTGGACGGATCAGATAGAAAAAGATTTGTGCTCCTTTGGAGACTGGCGTCCATATAGTGAAGTTAGTGCAAGCGTACAGAGTCTGTACCTCAGAGAGAACTTTGATGTGTTTTAAAATCATTATTCCTAATTGACATGCTAAATGTACAGTTAGTTGAACAAATTTTACTTTCTCTTTGTCCATACACAGAGAAATTGGCTAAGCAAATAAAGTTAAACAGGTTTCAGTGGAGTTTCCAAATTAACATGGTGGCAGAAAGTAGTACTGGGTGGGCTGGATGGCAGCAAGGCGTGGGTGAGGGATAGTAGGAAGGATTACCCATGGGTACAAGGGCACTCTTCCCTAGTTTGTGGAATACGCACGCACACGCACACACACACACAATCACTTTGCTGCTAAGTGCCATCGAGTTGGTTCCGACTCATAGTAATCCTGTATAGGGTTTCTGAAGAGCAGCTGGTAGGTTTGAACCTCCAACTATGTGGTTAGTAGTCCAATGCTTATCTTACGGTGCCACACCAGGAATATATACTGGATAATGCACTGCATCACAAGGTTGGTTTGAACGCAAGATCAGTGGCTCAAACTCACCTGTTGCTCCTTGGAAACCTATACAGGGTCTCTGTGAGTAGAAACTGTCTTGATGTCACTTAACAACAACAGCAACAACATTGTAGTTTAAAGGAACTCTGGTAGAGTAGTGGCTTTCGAGCTGGGCTCCTAACTGCAAGGTCAGAAGTTTGAATCTACCAGCCACTCTGAGGGAGAATGGTGAGGCTTTCTGCAGCTCCTGTGAGACTCGCTGTGAGTCAGCAGAGACTGGGAAGGCATGCAGCCACCACCACCACCATTCAAGTTTATGTTGATTAAACCTCAGTAAAGCTGTTTAATGGGGGCCTGGTGTGGTGTTTTAGGATAAGCACTGAACTGCTAACCACAGGATTGGTGGTTCAGGTCCATCAGTCACTTCTTGGAAACCTTATGCAGGGTTGTTATGAGGCAGAGCTGACTTGGTGGCACTTAACAACTACAATAGAGCTGTTGAATAAAATTTCAAAGAAAAAAGGAAAAAATATTTTTGACAAGATGATTTGTAATCCAGGTGGAAATTGAAAGGACTGGGTTAGAATAATGATAACATCCTTATCGAATATTTAAAGGTTTCACATATCTTGTGGTGTTAAACTTCAATTATGCTGTTGTTATTTATTTTTTATGATTGATTATCAATCTGCATTGAATGTAAAAGTATTGAGAAAAATGACTTTTTTCTCTTCTCTCTCTCTCCACACCCTCTTTTTAAAAAGGAGTGACAGCTCATTCCGATTCTTTGTGTTCTTCTTCGTCTATATTTGTCAGTTTGCTGTACATGTACTCCAGGCGGCAGGATTTCAAAACTGGGGCAATTGGTAAGTTATCTGCTTTAATTACTCCAGTTTCACGCTGTTAATCTCATGTCTTTATATAATTCATGGCTTTTAAAAAATAGTTAACAGGAATGCGATTTTAAATTTTGGATAAGTCAATCCAAAGATTAAGATGTCTTTGTGTGAGTTCTCAAGAAAAGCAAAACTAATGAAGCTTATATATGAGGGGACATCAAAATATACATGGAGAAATTCCACTGTATTTTAATTCCATTTTTCTATGAACTTTTGGAAGCCTGTTCATATGAGTGTTTATATATAATCTCAAGGAAATGATTCTCGTGACTGTAGAGGCTGCCAAGCTACAAGCGTATGAGTCAGATGTCAGGCTGGAGGCTTCTCCCATAGTCACAGGGACTGAGTGAATCCAAGGTCGACAGGCAGTATGTCAGGCCACTGACTGGAGTCCAAAGAACCCGAGGTCAGATGATGACCAGATCCATCAAAAAGCAGAACTTTGCCCCAGGGTCCATACATATATTGGAAGCAGGCCAGACCTCCAAAGAAACTCCCTTTCAATTGACTGACTGCTCATCGCAGGTCTCATCTTAGAAATGATTACATTATACCAGATCTCATCATGGGGATGACTACATCACATCCGCTAGATCACTGAGAATTGTGGCCCAGCCAAGGTGACACAACCTTAACCATCACAGTAGAGTGGTGTTGTTAGGTGTTATCCAGTTGGTTCCCACTTGCAGTGACCCTATGTACAATAGAAGGAAACACTAGCTGGTACTCTGCCATCCTCACAGCTGTTAGGTTTGAACCCATTTTTGGAGTCACTGTATCAGTCTATCTCATTGAGGGGAGTTTTCATTGACCCTCAATTTAACAAGCGTAATGTCCTTTTCCAGGGACTGTTCCCTTTGATAGCATGTCCAAAGTACTAGAGACAGTCTGACCAGTCTCGCTTCTAAGCATCATCCTGGCTTTACTTCTTCCAAGCAAGATTTGGTGGTGTTTTTTTGTTTTGTTTTGTTTTAACCTGTGGACTTCTGGTGTGACACTGTAGGAGTAGCACTGGACTGTGAAGCACAAGGTCAGCAATTCAAACCCACCAACTGCTCCTTGGAAACCCAAACAGGGTCCCTGTGAGTCTGAACTGACTTGAAGGCACTTGATAACATGTTAATTTCAGCATTCTTCACCTAGGCATCATTCAAAGACATCAATTCTTTTCCATTCTTCCTTATTCATTGTCCAGCTTTCACATGCATATGAGGTGTCAGGCACACCTTATTGTTTGAGTCCATTTCAATCCATAGCAACCCTGGCCTTGCAGTTCAAACTGACTTTGTAGTCCAGCTCATTAACCCACAGTGCCACTCCAGGACTCCAGGCACACCTTAGTCCTCAAAATAACCTCTTTGCTCTTTCACAGTTCAAACAGGTCTTCTGTAGCAGATTTGCCTGTTGAAATGCATCATTTGATTTCTTGAATACTGCTTCCGTAGTAATTGATTATGGATTGATGTAAAATGAAATCCTTTACCACTTCAATATTTTCTGCATTTGTCATGATGCCTTTTACTGGTCCAGTTACGAAGATATTTGTTTCTTTGAGGTACAATCCATACTGGAGGTTGTAGTCTTTGATCTTCATCAGTAGGTGTTTCAGGCCCTCTGCACTTTCAGTAAGCAAGGTTGTGTCATCTGAATACCATAGGTTGTTAATGGGCCTTCCTCCAATCCTGATTCCTCATTCTTCTCTATATAGTCCAGGTTTTCTGATTGTTGGCTCAGCCTACAAATGGACTAAGTATGGTGAAAGGATACAGCTCTCATGCATACCTTTCCTGGTTTTAAATGATTCAGTATCCTTTTGTTCAGTAAAGTATAGATAAATAATCACAGAAATGGTGTGTATCACTGGTATACTTGGCACCAGGGGAAGAAAGCTGAGGAGACTAATGAGCAGCCAGAGGGAGCAGCACGAATGATTGTAGAAGGGCATGAAAAGAATTTCACATATTCTAAAGGAAAGGGATTCCTATTATGTATCAAGCACTGTGTTAGGTGCACAGGCGTATATTTATGCACACACTGTTTCATGTGTACACACGTCAGTGCAGGCATGCCTTTCCAGGGGGAAATCATTATATCCATATATGTACCTCTTTCAGTAGTAGAATCATTCCCTGGGACATGATGCTCACTTAGTGTGAGGCACCATTAGAAACAGACTGATTAGACCCAGACCGAGAGAGAATAGCAGATTTATATGTCTTTTCTCACCTTCACTGTGAAGTGAACATACTTTGAGTGATGTATGATGGGCAGAATTGTACATCCCTAGAATTATCCCTCCCTTTCTTTTTTAACCAAGTTGCATGTAATTGTTGAATGCTAAAGTATGATGCACCTTGGCAGTACTTGACAAACTAACATCAGCATGTAACTGGGGAGTATTGCTTAAATTTAGTGTGCTACTACAGATCACCACTCCTCGTTTGTCAGTTTGTTGGACTGTGGTAGCTTATGTGCTGCTGTGATTCTGGAAGCTATGCGTCCAGTATTGTAAATACCAGCAGGGTCATTCATGGTGGACAGGTTTCAGCAGAGCTTCCAGACTAAGACAGACCAGGAAGAAGGAGAGGTAGATCACTTCCTAACAGGTTAGTCACTGAAAACCGTATGAATATCAGCAGAACCTAGTTTCATCTAGTGCCAGAAGATGAGCGCCTCAGCTTGGAAGGAACTCAGAATATGAATGGAGTAGAGCTGTCTTCTCAAAGTGAGTTGACCTTAATTATGTGGGTGTAGCAAAGGTTTTGAGATGTTCATTTCTGACGGGGCACAACTCCAAATGAGAAGGAATATCTGCAAACATCCATTAATAATTGGAATGTAAAATGTATAAAGTATGAATCTGGGAAAATTGGAAGTTGTGAAAAGTGAGATGGGATGCACAAAGATATCGTAGGGATTAGTGAGCTGAAATGGATTGGTATTGGCCATTTTGAATTGGATAATCATCTGGTTTACTGTGCTGGTAATGACAAATTGAGAGGAATAACATCACATTCATTGTCAAAAAGAGTATTTCAAGATCTGTCTTGAACTACAATGCTGTCTGTGATAGATAGAGTCACATCGTAAGCCTATAAGGAAGACCAGTTAAGACCACTATTGTTCAAATTTACGCACCAATCCTGTAATCCAATGATGAAGAAATTGAATTCTACCAGCTTCAACTGAAAGTGAACAAACATGCAATTAATTACTGGTGACTGGAATATGAAAGTTGAAAGCAAAGAGGAAGGATAGCTACTTGGAAATTATGGCCTTGGTGATAGAAATGATGCAGAGATCACATGAGTAAGACCAATGACTTATTCATTGCAAATACCTTTTTTGAACAACAGATGGAACACACAGAAATGAACTCAATTACTTCTATAGAAAGTGTTGTTCTTTTACTTTAATGTGGTGCTGTTGGATCAGCCCTAGAATGAGATCCACAAGGTTGGTCATTCAAACCCACCAGCTGCTCCTTGGAAATCTTATACAGGGTTGCTGTGAGTTAGAACCAACTTGACGGCACTTAAAAAAACAAAAAACAGCAATAAATTCTGTATGCTGAGCAAGCAATCCCATAGATTGGATTATATGAAGAAGAATATGGAATCAGGATTGGAGAAAGACTCATTAACAATGTGTATGATATGCAGATGACACAATCTTGCTTGCTGGAAGTGAAGAGGATTTAAGGCACTATGAATTACATCTTGATGTAAAGAAAACTGAACCAATAAATAACATCATGATTAATGGATGAATCATTAAAGTTTCAAAGATTTCATTTTACTTGGATCCACAGTCAACACTCATGGAAGCAGCAGTCAAGAAACCAAAGGATGTATTGCATTTGGCACATCTGCTGCAAAAGACCTCTTCAAAGTGTTAAATAGCAAAGCTGTCTCTTTGAGGACTAAAGTGCACCTGGTACAAGCCATGGTATATTCAGTCACCTCACATACATCACATACATGGACAATGAATAAGGAAGACTAGAAGAATTCATGCATTTGGATTATGGTGTTGGCGAAGGATACTGGATCGTGAAAAGAACAAACAAATATGTACTGAAAGAAGTACAGTCTAAATGCTCCTTAGAAGTGAAGATGATGAGACTTTGACCTTCGTTGTATGGACATGTTATCAGGAGAGATAGCCCCTGGAAAAGGACATACTGCTTGGTAGAGGGTCAGCAAAACAGTGCAAGTCCCCAGTGAGATGAATCAGCACAGTGGTTGCAACAGTGGGCTCAAACACAGTGGGCCTATGAGGATGACGCAAGACTGGACTGTTTCATTCTGTTGTGCATAGGATCACTGTGAGCCAGAACTGACTGGATGTCACCTAGAAACGACAGAGCAACTACAGAGTCAAAGTAATGACTGGCTAGCCGATGCTGTTTGGTAGCTGTGCATAGCTCTTGTGGACAAAGAGAATCAGTTCTTGGATAAAGTTTCGATTATTACTTTAAATTGTACTTTGTCTTTGGCATTTGAGGAAAAGGAAATGATTTAAACATTTTATTAAAGAATATTTAATACAAGATTTTATTTTTATGAGATTAAAGTACTTTTACTTTCTAGCACAAACTTAGAAAAAGATTGCTGAATTTGAGCATATACTGACAAAATAGCATTGGCAGAGTCTGCTAGTGATGGTGCATGTAGGATGATCTGTTTTAAGGTAGATCTCATACAATGGGTAGGTTTTTAAAAAATGAAACTTTTAATTTTGAGATAATTATTGATTCATAGGCCATTGTAAGAAACAATACAAAAGAATCCTATGTATCTTTACCTATGTATCTGTCCCTTCTAATAATGACATCTGTGATGTAGAACCAGGATCTGGGCATTGATACAGTCATGATGCAGAACATTAACCACCATTAACCACCAGGATGCCACTTTCTTCTTGTTCCCTTTCCCTCTCTATCCCCTAGCAACCACTGATCTGTTCCTCATTTCTATTGTTTTGTGTTTGCAATATGAAATTATAAAATAAACATTGGGGATTGACATTTGTTACTTAACTTAATTCTCTGACTTTCATCTAGATTGTCCATGTTTTATTTCTTTGTATTGCTATGTAGTATTCCATGGTGTAGATGTACCACAATTTGTTTAATTCACATGTTAAAGGATATCTGGACTGGGTTGTTTCTAGTTTAGAACTATTCTGAATCAAATTGCTAAAAACATTCAAGAATAGGTTTTTCTGTCCATAAGAGTTTTCATTTCTCTGGGATAAATGTCCAAGAGTGTAATTGTTGGGTCATATGGAAGTTGTGTGTTTAGTTTTCTTAAGAGATGGACACACTTTCCCAGAGTGGCTCTGCTACTTTACATTACCTCCAACTATGTATGAAGTAGTTCCACTTTTCCATTTCCTCAACAAAGATTTGGTGTTACTACTATTTTTACATTTTAACCATTCTGATATATATGTATTGATATCTAAATGTGATTTAATTTTCATTTCTACAGAGAGTAATGTCATTAGTCCTGGTGTGGCACTGTATGACAAGCACTGAACTGCTACCCATGGTATCAGCAGTTCAAACCTACCAGCTGCTCTGTGGGAGAATGATGAGGTCTCAGAAACCCCATACAAGGTCATTATGTGTGGGAATCCACTCATTGGCAGTGAGTTTGAGTTTTGGAGTAGGGTAAGCAGTGTACTGCTGACTGAAAGGTCAGTGGTTCAAAACCAGCAGCTGCTCCTAAGAAACCCTATACAGGGTCGCTATGAGTAGGAGATTACTCAATAGCACTTGCCAACATCAGTAATGACTAATGATGTTGAAGAACTGTTCATGTGCTTACTTGCCATCTTTATATCCTCTTAGTTTGAATTTGAATTCAAGCTGTGTGGTTGATTATGTGATACAGGGCCTCCTTTGCAAAATAGAAATTAAAAATTTGTATCTTAAGGCAATTGTTGTGTAAATACAGTAGTTAATATTTGTATGTGTGGACACATTAACTCATTGAACAGGAAGACTGAAGAATTGATGCCTTTGAATTATGGTGTTGGCTAGTAATCTTAAATATGCCATGGACTGTCAGAGGAATGAACAAGTCTCTGTTGCAAGTACAACCAGAATACTCCGTAGATGGGAGAATGGTCAGACTTTGTCTCACATACCCTGGACATATTTTCAGGAGGGACCATTTTCTGGAGAAAGGACATCGTGCTTGGTAAAGTGGAGGGTCAGCAAAAGAGGAAACCCCTCGATTGTAACCATGGCATTGAAACTGTATACGATAGGATGAATGTAAAGCTACTGTTCTCCTGGGTAAACTATCAGACAATTCACAATAAAACTTCTTTTTAAAAAAGTGAAGGAAGCATAAAAGAGTCAGAGAGAGATAAATTTATAGAAGATGTTGAAGATAGAGGAAGGAGGCCGTGAACTAAGGAATGTGAACAACCCTCTTTCACCCTCACTTCCCATGACCTAGGCAGAAGGGGCTCGCTTCTCTCCACTATCATTGCATCTCACCTAGATACCCGCAGTGGCCTGTTCACTGGCCTCCCAAATAGAATTGTCCCCACCCAAGATCATTTTCCACACAGCAGCCAGAGTGAGCCTTTTCAAAATAAGGATGTAAAAAGAATAGTGAGAATGGTTATATAACTTGGAGAATTTAATCAGTATTACTGGATTGTACATGTAGAAATGCTTGAGAGGCATGTGTTGTTATGTAGATTTTCACTACAATTAAAAAAAAAGTATTATTTAAAAAAAATTATAAGCCCCTCAATGAAGTGGATTGACAGTAGTGGCTGCAACAGTGGGCTCAGACAGGCAAGATGGAGAGAATGAATGAATGAGTGAATGTGGTGGTGGTGATATCCTGCACAGGGTTTCTGAGATTGTAAATCTATACGGGAGCAGAAAGCCTCATCTTTCTCCGGCGGAGCAGCTGGTAGTTTCGAACTGTTGATCTTGCGGTTAGCAGCTTGATTCGTAACCACTGCGCTACCAGAGTTCCTTTGTTAAACATAGGTTTGCCATGAATCAGAACTGACTTGATGGCACTTAGCAATAATTTACAATAGGACTCCAACAGGTTTGCAGAAAGTAGAATTTTTAAATTACGGAATTTTTTCCATGAACTTTTTGCAGTCCTCTTGTTGGGGCGTGTATGTGTGTGTGCATGTACAGAACTTGAATGGTGTCTGGTGCTGAATATGCTAGATAGTATGTTATTTTTCGGAAGTATACACTAACTGATTTGTTAAGTTTCGCTGTTGATTCATTTGTAGTGGCTGGATTTCATCCCTCACTGGCCTCAACCACAGCATCCCCGTTGGGATCATGATGATAATCATAGCAGCACTTTTCACAGCCTCCGCAGTCATCTCGCTGGTCATGTTTAAAAAGGTAAGTGGGATTCTGCGTCTCTACCTGTTTGTAGTGAATCTCATGTTCACGTCTCATTTTCCCCATTTTGCTTGTGATTCACTTCAACCTCAAGCCATTATATGGGTTTGTTATTGTTTTCTAAGTGCAAGTTTGCTTTTTTGGATTCCTTTCTACAATTAGAAATCCAATTTTGGTAATTGCATCACTTTATTAACTTTCTGTGAATGGGGAGTGTTTTTAAGTCCCATTAGGAGCTAAAGGCTTCTTTAAGAATTAAAGTATTAACCTCAGTTTTTACATTTGGATGGGCCATATTAGCCTGTTAATGATAGAAGTAAAGCTATTGTGTAGCTGTGTGCATATTATTTTTATTCAGAATTTAAAGGTACTAAATCATGAATTGTGAGTATAAAATGATCTGGGGACAAGTTCAGACTGGATTATGATGTGAATTTTGTTTTTAGTAACTGCACAGTTTTCTTTGCTATGCTTCTTTCTGTAAAGGTGCCATGGTTGCTTTTAGACCCTTTAAAAAATGTGTCATTGCATAGTGTGGGAGATAATCAACATTTTTATTTTATAAGTTTTGCTTTGTCTTGGATATACATTCTTGCTATTCTACTTATGTTCAAAGTGATAAAGAAACTCGAGGAATAACACCTGTATTTCAAAATGGTGAGGGCTTTGGTCGGTCTCTATTTTTGAAGAATCGTTGTAAATATATATGTAACAGAGCATCTGTCATTTCAGCGTTCTTTACATGCACACTGCAGTGACATTATTAAAGACATTTCTCACATTGTGCAGTTGTCATTATTAACCTGTTTCCAAATAGTTTCATCCCCCTTAACAGAACTTGGTGTCCCTTGAACAATGAGACCCCACTTTTCCTTTCCTTTCCTTTCCTTTCCCTGGTTACCACTAATAAAATTTGGTCTCTATACACTTTTCTGAGTCCAGGTGTGGTGCTGTAGGATTAACATTGGACTGCAAAGTCGGTTTGGACTGCAAGGTCAGCAGTTCAAACCTTACCAGCCACTCCTCAGAAACCCTATACAGGATTGCTATGAGTCGAAAGACGGCACTTAACAACATACACTTTTCTATTCAGGATAGGTCATGTAAATAGAGTCATACAGTATTTGTCCTTTTGTGACTGACTTTTTTTCTCAGCATAATGTTTTTTAAGAGTCATCCATATTATAACACTTATTGTGATTTCATATCTGTTTATGATGTGATATTTTGATGTGTGTATATACCACATTTTACTTATTTGTCTCTTGTTGGACCTTTAGGTTGTTTGTACCTTTTAGCTATTGTCAGTAGTGCTGCAGTGAGCATTTGTGTACAAGTATCTTTTGTATTCCTGCTTTTCATTTCATACAAAAGTATCTTTTGTATACCTGAGAATTGCTGGATCATGTGGTAGTTCATGTTTAACTTTCTGAGGAACCATAAGATTGAGTATGTATTATGTCAGGCACTGTGCTGTGAATGAGTCCACGAAGCTCATCATTCGTGTGCTAGAGAAACAAATGAATAGACACCACAATCTAATGGATTAATGTCCAAGAATAGGGAGCACACAGGAGGCATACCTGACTTAGTTGTGAAAGTCTTTTTAATTAATGAAACTTGATTATTTAAATAATGCCTTTGTTGGGTTGTAATGATGAGTAGGACTCCTGGCGTGGCACTGTGGGTTAATGCACTGGACTTTGAACCACAAGGTCAGTGGTTCAAACTCACCAGTTGCTCCTCAGAAACCCTATACAGGGTTGCTATGAGTCAGAACAACAACAACAGTTATGAGTAAGAGTTGACTTAGTAAAAGGATAAATGGGAGAGGAGAGGATAAGTAGGTACCAAGTAGAAGGCACACATGGTTATCTCTGGATGCATGAAATGGCATGGCAAATTCAGTGAATGAAAAACAGTTCAGAATGGACAGGAAGGAAACTTGGTTCATGAATTGGGGCAGGGTGGAATGTGTGGTCGTGGTGGTGGTAGAAAGTAGGAGAAGATGAGTCTGGACAGGTAAGTGGTAGCCATAGCCTGTGGACTCTAATTTAGGAAGTCTTGTTAAGAAGTTTGGATATTTTCCTGAATGGTGGTGAACCACTGAAGATTTTTAAGGAAGAAAGTAACTGAACTTATTAGATTTGAGTTTAGAAAGATTACTCTGAAATATTTGGGACCTGTGGGACAGCAGGGGTGTGACATGTGGGTAAACTAAGTCTGGGACACTAATGGGGAATGGTTAGTGATGACGGTGGCCGGAACTTAGGAAATGTCCATGTGAAGTCCATGTAGCCGAGGGACGATGCGCAGGTAGTGATTGGACTGCATTTGTGTATTGGCAGTGAGGCCTTAGAGAAGTCAGCGATGACTCCCAGGTTTCTAGATGGTGGAAAAGAACAGGTTTGAGGTGAAGATGATTTCAGCTTTGAATGTGAGAAAGCTTAAAATGCTGGTGAGGCATTAAAGTATAAATAGTAGGCTTTGAGATATTTGTAGCCCTGGTGGTACAGTGGTTAAAGCTTTCAGCTGCTAACCAAATGGTCAGTGGTTCGAACCCACCAAACCCACTTGATAGGAGAAAGATGTAAGTAGTGTCGGCTTTAATCAGGTTTACAGCCTTGGAAAATCTAGAGGGGCAGTCCTGGTGTGGCGCAACATGATAAACACTGGACTGCTAACTGTAAGGTTGGTGGTTGAAAACCACCAGCCGTTGGTGTGAGTTGAAACTGACTCGATGGCACTTAGCACCAACAACATAGGATCGCTGTGAGTAGGAATCCAGTTGACAGCAGTGAGCTTGGTGTTTTGATTTTATGATACACATGATGGGAGCAAAAGGAAGAGCTTTAGGCTGGATATCGAGATTTGGGAGTTACTGAGTTCTTGATGTATGGGAACCCTAAAAAGTGTATCTAATGAGAGGAGTGCCTAGGAAAGAACATCACCAACATTTAAAAATCTGAGGCAAGATTGTGGAGAGACTCACAAGTAGCAGTGGGCGGTGTGAGCTGAGTGGCACAGAAACTCCATCGAGCTGCTGAAAGGTACAGGTTAGGGGAGGGTGTGGAGGAAGTGTTTCTTATGCAGCTGCTGCCTGCTGACAGCCAGGTGGAGTGCTCTGGATTCTTCAACCTGTACATGTGTTTCCCTGCCATTTTCCCAGCTACACCCATCTTCAGGGTTGGATTCATGAGAGGACAAGTTGTAGCGCTACACTTATTGTGTACCAGACATTCAAAATAAACATGGCCGCTTCCCAAATAAGACAGAAGGATTAATAGGAGGACTATGCAACTCCACAGCACATAACAACAACATGCAACATTGATACTGAAAGAAGAAGTCCAAGGTGCATTGAAGGAATTGGCAAAGAACAAGGCACCAGGAATTGATGGAATAAAAATTGAAATCTTTCAAGAAA